TTTGCAGGTTACTATGGTTGTGCTTCGTTGACACAGAACCAACGTGCAGTCCGCAGAAGATGGGCACAGGAGCATCTCAAATGATGACGAGATGAGCAACATGCTTTTCACAGACGAGTCCCGCTTTAGTGTTACAATTTGACAATAGGCAGATTCACAGATGGAGAAAACCTGGTACATGGAATACTTCCGCATTTGTGCATGAAAAGTGTTCGACTTGGCTGAGGCAGAGTAAAGGCCTGGGCCGGTATTTCTATCAAAAGTTGCACTGACCTTCACATTATCATTGATGGGGTACTATCAGCTCAGTTATATAGGAGTACTATTAGCTCAGCTATATAGATCCTCAAACCTATTGTGGTGCTTTTCGGGAAGGAATTCATTCTCATGGGTGATAAATGCTAGGCCTTAACGTCCTCAGCTAATGGGCAATTTCATTTTTGAAGAAGGAATCCGTCGAATACATTAGCCAGCGTATTTTCAGAAATGAACTCAATAAAGCATGTTTGGGACATTCTAGGGAGAATGGTTGCTAATTGCTTATCGTTCCCAGAAACAATTCAGCAGTTTGAAAAATTTCTTGTACAGAATTGGGAGAGAATATCACAGTCCTTCATTGGTTCCATGTCTTGTAGGTTTGCGATATTGCTTTCGGTCAAGGAAAACCATACCTCTATTTGAACCTCATTTGTATCCGAGGATTACATTTTTTCTTTCTTTGTATAATATGCATAAACAAAAAATGCACAACGTGCATTTTTTTGTTTACCGATAAATATCATCAATAAAATTTAGCTATTCTTTGTTCGCTGTTTCTTCTTCTTTTCTGATATTTTACAACATTTATACATCATATTTCCCACCAAAACATTTCCTTATCCTTAATTTATGTCCAAAATCGTAATAACCCCTAATTGTTTTAAGCGCTGTAAATAAATCCCAATTAGACATGCATGTTGTACTTTGTGAATACGCTAATGATAAGGAAAGCAAATAAAACCCGATGTGACTATTGTATTGACGGATTCACACTATTGTATTGAAATTATACACGAAAATCCACAAACCAGCGGTTAGCCTGTCTTTACAGCCACGGGGGGCTCTGTAGAGTGTACTCTAGCCCCCTGAGCGGCATGATCGTCTTTATCCGGTCATGAGATTTTCTGTTACTTGATACATATTAGCTTAAGATATTTTGCTTTCTTACTTTAATAATGTAAATGTAATCTTAATGAATGTAAGTTTATGAATGAAAATAGAGGCTAAAATAAGTAATTATATAAATTTAGCTAATAAATGCTGCATAAATACAGGTTTTCATGACAGATCCAAAAACCCATGCCGCTCAGAGGGCTAAGGTGCAAAACGTAAGCAACAAATTCACGTTTCAACATACAGGCCAATGAAATTGCTGAAAAAGGCTTTTTGCGATGAGTGCAATGAAAAGGCAACTCAGCATAAAGGTGATGCATATACAAATATCAGTACCATGCTGTCAGAGTATACGTCAGAGCACTCAAAACGCCATTAGTCAAGCACTCAAACGCAGTGCATGGCAACTTAAAAAGATGGAAGGAAGGCGCATTTACAGGCATTCTTCTGTAAGTGAAAGAGAGATTGTTCATGTAGTATGGCTACAAGAAAACATCAGGATGCTTTAACACATAATAGAATGATTGACAAGGTTAAGGAAGGACTTAGTTTGACGTCTGTCGCCCAAGAGTTTGGAATTGATAAAAGTGTTGTTTCACGAGCTCGAAAAGTCGTCTTGCAGACGAAAAGAGATCGAAACCAGACAGCCGGCTACATAGCTCTGCATTTGCGCACAGCAACTGGATGAGAAGTGTCCCAGTTTTACTATGGCCAGACAACTTCATAAACGTGGCCTATTCTCTAATCCATCTGAGTAAATTGGACTTTCAAATCAAAGGCCGATTTACAGTTGAATCGTTTCTTTCTGGCTCTCATCGGAAACCGGTATGCTTCTCGATACACCTAATAAATATGAAATGGAAGAAAACGGTCAGGTTACGCAAACAATCATGAGCGTATGAAAATATATGATGAACCAAAGAAAAGAGGATCTCAGAGACTAAGTACTGTACTTTAGTGTTGCGTAATTTAAGTCAAAATTTATTTATGAATGCAAATACATATTAATCATTGTCAGGCGTGTCAAATCAGCATCTCAAGCGTGCCAAATAGTCACTATATGCTGTTGTAGGCTAAATAGTCAACAGTACACATTATAAGAGTCAATATGCCATTTAAATGCTTAATGATGTACTGAGCGAAAAGTAAGTAAATTTATAAAATCTTATAACACAGTCCTGCGGCTCGTTAAAAAATAGAGCATTGGGAAATCGGTACAGTAGATGATTACCTATTGTTTCTTTCCGGACAACCTAGCATCTTCTTTCTGCAGCCAACTTTCAGTTCTCTGGAGGCATGCTACTTGCGCTACCAGTTTGGTACTTTAAAATAGAAGCTTCATGGTTATTTTCCGCCGCCCGATTTAACTTGTAACCATGGAACCAATGAGCTGCGCAAAAAAGTTCAACTCGCTTAATTTTTTCTTCCTACTTCGCTTCCATTTAGCTTATTTAGTTTTCTAAAAAGCACACGAATTAAGACTGACTTGAACTACTGTCTCATATGACGTGGAGAAATGAAAGGCTAAGTAGTGATGATGATACTACCGAGAATGGACGGGATGGCAGTGGTAAAGTGCCTATTTTAAAGTAATTAGACTATAACAATTTTCAGAAAAGGGGACATATCACTGTCTGTTAATTTGGATCTTGTCGGGAATGTGAGAAAACTGCTCACTCTGGTATGCTACTGCCGAACATGTAAATCACGTACGATGCCAATTTGCGGCCTTCTGAAAACAAAGTATTCGTAAAATTCGGGAATACCAACTGCGTTCAAATTTTACTTTAGAAGTTAGTTGCAATGCGGTACTTTCTGTTAATCTCATATATAAATGGACATTTTAATGTAAATGGACATCTCATATGTAAATGGACATTATGGCACATTTTCGACATCAGTTAAAAAGTATTTTAATATTATACCATGAAAATATAAGCTGCCCAAAAGGTATAGAGGTTAGGAATACTTCGAATCCTGGAGAAGGCATAGTTATAATTTTCCGTCTCTTCTTAGGAGACAAAGGTGGCCCACCTATTAGGAGCCTCCATAATAAAGTGACCACCACTTCTGCCTTAGTTGCGGCCAAGCCGAAGTCGGCTGAGGGCCACCGAGATCCAACTAGAAAGAAAGTAAGTTAATTAATGCATTTTCTGGCTTTTATATCTTCATGTACATTTGACATTTTACTTTCTTATTATATATATTTAAATTTTTTAACTTTTATTTGATTTGTTTTTGCAAAGATAGCATTGTCATGTTTCTTATTTGTTCCATTTTATTTCAATTACTTTGAGTTCTATTTCATAATTCCAATTTAGTTGTACGAACGGTATATTATTTGAAAAGAGGCGTGGAAGGAAACAGGTCAAAGCAAACGGGAGTATTTTGTAAGTTTTTGTAAATTTTTTTCAATCACTCAAATTTTCTGCAGAAGCTTGTAGGAGCTATACGTCTCGATGAGTTCGTGACTCTACTTCGTTTATCAGCCCTCACGTCATGACTACATTTTGGTCTAACTTAATTTGCCAGTTTGCATCTTCATTCTTACGTGAGTCAAGACGAAACACCTCGCATTTATAAGTATTATTCATTGCACGGAGTGTTTGTTTCCCTTGAAAATTCAACTATTTCCGATCATAGCGATAATTATGTTTTTTTTTTTTAATTTTTTTTCAATTGAAATTTTGTTTCTGATTTAAATCATGTCCCTATAAACGTTTTGTTTTCATATTCGCATTCAATTTATTTAAAACACAATTTTCGAATAAACTTCCTAATATGGTTCCCTCTTTTTGATATATTCTACAATTATATAGAAGATAATATAATCATATTTCTTTATTAATATTATTATTTCTACTTGCAAGTATAAAAAACTTGTTTTCGAACTCAGTGAATTTTAGATTATTAATATATATATATATATATATATTATTTTCTCGAAGTGGGTAGCAGAAAAATGAGTCAAGGATTTCGAGTTTGATATTCCTGGTATAGATTAACAGTACAATTCTATAAGATATTTTCTCTCTCCTTCCCGTATGCCTTTGTGATGTAACTGGAAACCTATTAGACGCGTATTTGAGAGGTCCAGGGTTCGAGTCCCGGCGAGGGAATTGAAGATTTTTCCAGTTTTCTGACTCTGAAAAATTGTAAAAATACTCTACAAGTGGCGCCCGAACTAAAAGGGTGGCGGCCGATAATTTGTCACCACTAGGATTTGGCGACTGGGTCGCCTTTCAAAAGGGGGAGTATATAAGGTATGGTCTTCCTCCTTTCCACATGCCTTAGTTGTGTAATTGGAAGCATACTCGAAGCGTATTCGAGAGGTCTAAGCTTCGAGTCCCCGCGAAGGCACTTGACTCTAGGACACATTAATTTATTTCATCAACTGGAAAAAAAAAAAAAAAAAAAAAAAAAAAAAAAAAAAACCTATTTTCATTCTAGTGTGAAGTAAAGTCAAGTTCACTTATAACAAACTTGATTTATAACGAAACTAACGGAACGGTTCTGTCCAATTTCTTATTCCCGTGATTCTATTTTATACGGCTGTAGTGATCATCCAAATGTATAAAAATCAGACATCACGAACGAAATAGATATATTGTACTCAAACATTTTTTGTAAAATTCATAAATAGTTTTGGAATTTCTTCGAGTTTTAGCTAAAAAATTATAAACCTTTAAAATAAACCATTTTAGGCTACTTGTATAGTGAAAAATAGTTTAATCCTGCTATTTTTCATTTACACAGTCGCTCTCAACTTTATCTGCACTCTAAACGAAAGACATATAAGGCAGATGCAAATCCAATTCTTTAAAAAAGTTCAGAATTAGCGATCACCCAAAACGGCTCTATTAAAGTTTTATGTGATTTACCGATAGAGATTATCAATAGACATAGCCTTGGTAGAATAACGAAACACTTGATTGTGCATTAGATGAATATGCATTTAGACTAATACGGGAATTTCTGTATATTTAAAAAGGGAAAAAATATGTAATTTATTTCTATAAACATATTTAACGTTTTTAATTATATATATATCGTGAACTAAATACATTTTTTATTTAAATCAATCCGATTTAAATGTAAAAAAATAAAGTTTTTAATATATGCATTTTTTGCTTTTAAGCAGTTTAGTTTGTTGTTTAATAATAGACCGACTAGATATGAAAGAATGATACATTACGTTTTACCACAGACTCAAATGAAAAAAATGAAACAACGCATAATCGTGTTTCGACAGCAAAAGCCCTTTTGGGCTTAAAAAAAGACATAAAATTAAAGAACATATAACAAGTTTTACATCTTAGGAGAATATATGCTATGCACTGACCATTAAGCTAAAAACTTCGAATTGGTTCTTTGCGTCCAATTAAGTTTTTTTTTTTTTTTTTTTTTTTTTTTTTTAGCTATAGGACAGAGACAGTTCTATTTAAGCCTGATGCTGCGATGGAAATTTTGAAATTTTAGCTGTTCAGAAAAAGAGGTAGGAGTGAATAGATTCTAATGAGTATGGAGCGGTACAGTAATTCAGCTATACAGTATTTTTTTTAGCGAATACAGATTTTTAACCTTAATCGGTTTATTTTGTTCCAATAATTTAAATGCTGTCCATATTCTGTTTTTTAAATAGGGAGTTGTTTTCTTTAGGTTCTTTGGCAAAATTTAGGTTGTTCTTTGTTAGGATAGGGTTACTGCACTTTCACATTGCAGCTGTATCTATCTTAAGAAAAACAAATTATTCTTCACGGATAGGACACATTCGTTAAATTTATCTTTGTTTGTTTAATGCTCGTTTTTCAACTTTTCTGAAAGAATTTATCTTCGTTTTTAAATTTTTTCATATAGATGATCTTTGATCTACTCTCTTTACTCTGCATGGATGAAATTTTCTGAATCAAAAATTGATTCTTATGGTATTATGAATGTCAGCCTTCCACATTAAATAAAAGATAAGAATTGTTCAAAACATACAGAATAGATGTAGTCGAATCGATATCTGCCACGAATACAATTTACCCAAATCTTACAGTTGATATCACGTGGAAAAGTCAAAACTCAATAATTACTGCTCACGTGGAAAAGTTGAGAAAGTATCTCGATTTTGATGTTCTTCAACATCAAATTGTTGAAGAAACATTGCTGAAATGGTTCACCATTCACAGCAGCCACCAGTATCTGGACAAGTACTTCAAACAAAGGCTGATTAATTGCCACATTAAAAGGTATAAGGTATAAGGTATAAGGTAACTCTGCTGCTCAATGAAAACCCTTTCTAACAGAAGGCGCGTGACCATGGCTCGGCATTTCCCGGTGAACATTAGAATTTGCTTCTGATAGAGATTTCGAGATTTCGAGGGGTTTCATTTTAATCGGTAGAATAATAATTTTTCAGAATCTTGAAATTCGTTTTCAAATTCAATACAAACCTTTTTCCAGCAGTCATTAAGCCCATATTTACATGTTTTTATACGAGTCTGCTAGTTATAATTACACATTTATTAATTATAACTATTAAGTAACTTTATTATAAGATTTCTGTTTATTATTAAATAAATATTCCATTAATATTAATAATAACTTTATTGTTGAAATAAACTTTTACTCTATAAATTTTTTTTATTATATTCCAAGATGGCTATTAGTCTCGAAACGGGATTTTGCAATAATGAAGAATCTGCGTATATGTATATATGTTTGTTCCTTGCATTGGAAAAATCGAAGGGACATAGAGCCAACAAATTTTGAATAACGTAGTCTTTCACTCGAACATGACACATGGAAGCCCGAATTCTAAATTTTGATTATTATATTTTGTAAATCTTCAATGGATTTTTGATTGACAAACTCAACGATCTGAAAGCGAGTAGTGGCAATACTGTGAGGAATATAACATTTTTATCTCCATCCGACAAGACTATCTATCGGACATTTTAAAGATATGCTGTTTTTAAATATTTGCGACTTTTCTGTTGAATTGAATTTTATGTAACCTAAATGAGAAGAACGTGATACTTAACACACAAAATGAAAGAACACGTGAGAAATAAAGTTAACACACAAAATGTTAATAATATAAAGAGAAAAAATGCTTTGTAAGCCATTTTACGAAAGAAACTGATAACTGATATGATAAACTGAAAAAATTAGGCAAGTGTATGCTAACACTGAACATTGCGTCGGGATTTCAAAACATGTGCTGCTTTTAAAATTTTTGTAATTTTGCTGTTGAACTGTATATGGTGTAAGTACGAAGAACATGATGCTTAATAATAAAGCTAAAAAGACAAAAAGAAATGGTTTAGCAGTAGTGAGTGCAACAGCATACTGCGAGAAAGTGCAAAACTTTATGAAAACAATATTGGGCGATCGTTAAAACCTGAACACACCACGAAGGCATGCGAAGAAGGCGGGAAAAATACCTTATAATCTAGATTCTAGATATTTGTTGCGTCACAAGCAGTGGGTTGATTTTTTTCCAGGAACTGACAACAAAACACTTGTAGTATATGTAAAGACAAAACAAAGCATATTAAAAAGAGCTATTTCTATAATTTTCATTTTGTGATTTTAAGACAACGTTGAAAAATCTAGGCTATAGCTGGAAAATGTATATCCTTACGTGTAGTTCTGACTGTTATTTTATAATTAATCATAACTAATTTTTTTCCTATTGCTTCTTGAATTCTGGAAGGTTCAGGAATTGGGAGCGTGTTGCATCACAAGGAGTGACGTCGGGATATTTTTTCCTCCTTTTATATCACTCCCCAAAGTGCGTTTTTTTTCATTTACACACGCATATACGTTTCCAGAGCATTTAGGCTAACCCACCTTTGGGCTAAAAATATTGTAGCGAAAATTGTTCTTTTTGACCGAGGTACTCATAGCTTAGCGGAGAAGATGCAGGACTCGAAACCCAAAGGTCTCGGGTTCGAAACCCATCAACGACAAGATGTCTGATAATTGGTTTTTATGTAAATTTCCTTCTTGTTAATGTTATCTTATTTATGTAAATTTCCTTCTTATTCTTCCTGCACATTCCGAGTCTGGCAGGTTCACCAGCTGTATATAAGTAGCTCTTCATTCAATTCAATTTAATAAAAAGACTTGAGTACTTACTTGT